TTTGGCTGCCTGCTTATGCCTGCAGTGAATAAAGAATACAAAATTACCTGTGATTAAAGGAAATCTGCATGAGGTGCACAGTGTACACATGGGGCCATGGAAATCCCAAGACTGTCCATCAATTTTTGGGCATAGTATTTCACATGACAGATTTAGTAGCCAGCAGCTAATCACAAGCTGTAAATCGCTGCACATTATAACTGAAAAATGAGATTTCAAAGGAACTAAAGAATTTTCTAAACTAACATCTCACTCTATTCAGTTAATACTATAATGAGTGGTTTATATACAACATTGCCACCTTCTGGATATAATCAGAAATGCTTAATGAGGGCCAGAGATGCTTTACTATTCACATTCTTGCAGTGTCTCAAAACAGCTAAATAAGATTTCCCAATCATTTACGTGATAGGGTCCTGTGCTCTTTACAGCATGAATTCTAGTTTCTTTGGCACCAGAAAATGCTAAACAACCAAAAAGTCTGTAGCATTAGTGACAACTAGAAAGTGCTGGGTTTGTTGCGTGTGTTGTTACACCTGAACAATACAAATGATTTTTAACACATGTAAATGAGATAATCTGAGGAGACTAACCATTAAAAATTACCTGTAAAAAGATGTTACTCGGATGAAAGGATGCAGCCTCTGTTTCTGTAAAATTAATTACTGAAAACTTCACAAACATGAAAATATCCCAGATTGCAGTCTCTTCTATGGTACAATTACCCAATACTCCTTTAAATTATGGCTTCAAAACTGATTTTAAAATCTTCTCCAAATGTTTGGGAGAATTAAATTAGGAGTAGTAGAATTCCTTAGTAGTGTCAGTGGTTCCTTTCTGCCCTTGAATACCTTTTCAAATGTAGGAGGAAGCGATAGAACTAGAAGATTCAGAATGGCAGTCAAAGAGAGTTGGGAGAATATACAGTGACAGCAGCAGGACTCCCACTGAAAGAAGAGTAGTACAATCAGTGATATGAAGAAAAGTTTAAAGAACAAAATAAGAGAGGTGACTCTTTAGGAGGAGATAGGAGAGAATAAAATACAGACAAAACAGAATGACTAAAGTAATGGAAACTAAAAAGATAAAAGTTCAAAATAGAGCAAATCAGACACCATAAAAACAGAGGTCATGACTTTAATGTCATGTTGTGCTGCTTGCTAAATTAGTTTGAAGGAAAGTAGGATCAATGCAGGTGAATCCATCTGTAGTAGAGAGAAAAATCTCTGAAGAATCTTAGCAATCACAGGAACGGTTTCATTTGGAGACAGCATAACTAATACAAGAGAGCTAGAAGTTGCAAAGTGTTCACCGAGTTCACAGGTTATTCACAAGCCTCACACATTGTTTTTGCCTTTATCTGAAAGTTTTCATCATCAATTAATTGTGCCAGCATAGCAGAAATGAGAGCTGGCTATTCCCTAAAATGTATTTAGATGTCATTGAATTAAGAATCTTTGGGGTTCCTAGTAATACATGAATGGTTTATATAATATGTATTGTATACAACTTTGTGAGGATGGAGATGTGATGATGAGACACCGAGGAAAAGGGTTCAAAGGACTCTGGTGAAAGACGTGAATGGCCTTTTGGAACAAAAAGTGTTTTCTCTAGGAGAATATATGAAGGGAGGTGAATCCAACTTTGTGAAGCTATGCCTACAGTGGGGATCATTGTCTGCTGATCACCTATTACATGAGGCCCAAGCTATATAAAGTCAAGATTGGACTATTTGTGGTTGATCTGGTTCTGAACCTCAGATTGATATCAACTTGCAACTACAAGGAAAATCCAGCTGTAGGTTTTAAGGACTGACACATATTAAAACTAGAAAGTACAACTGAGCTAATCTTTTAGTATACATGTAGGTTCTTTTGTTGTTTTTAAATATTTTCTTTCTAATGCTTTTACTTGGTAGGCAAGCACATTTAGTCTCAAATATGTGTGCGTTAACTTGTAACTGTGGGCCATCATGTTGTTCACATGAGAGACCACCTTACACCCTATGATATAGTCCCATAATTACCATAAGCAGAAGAGCCAATGATAGATCTCCCTTGATGTAACATGAACTGGAGCAGCTAGTAAGGTATTTCCTGTAAGAGCTCACACTCTGAAAGGGGCTCTCACGCTGGTACAATATAGCCTAATTTTGTCAGGTTTTAGAGCACAGTGCAGGGAACTTGTGTTTTGCTTGGCCTTTATGAAGAGTTAGGAAAGACTGATGTAGTGACTCTTGTGTGGGGGCATTATTATTTGTATGAAGAACTGGTGCTTAGTAGGAGTAAACTGATTGAAAATACATAAAATGAAACATTTCAGTGTATTGGTACAGTGCTTTCCCAACTTCATCAAGAAATCTGTTGCATGTAAGTCTTCCAATGGTCCTCTTCTGCTATGCTGCTTACAAGAAACTCTCTCAGTTATACTAAAAAGTGGCAGGAGTAATTAGAAACAATCGATATTAGGAAAACACAGAGTTTACTTTACCTTATAATAAAGATGTGAGGTGAAATTCACGGCTTACCTGCTTGCATTACAGTGCTTCCTTTTTCTAGCAGCACTCAAGATGTTCCACTCTGTGTGGGATTAAACTATTTGAATTCCATAGAGTAGAGTTATGCTCCTATTTCAGACATTCAGACTGTCAGGAGTTTAATACACAGTTTGAGAAGACATTGTTAGTGGTTTGATTTTTGACCAGAACACAAGTCTGAATGAGCTGGCATTCTTTTTAAAAAATACCATATATCCAGAATTATGGAGACAGGCTCCTGGAAAATTTGAAGTACTAACTGAGGGTATGTCTAGACTACATGGCTCCGTCAACAGAGCCATGTGGATGAGTTTACTAGACATAGGAAAATGAAGCGGCGATTTAAATAATCGCCGCTTCATTTACATAAAAATGGTCGTTGCACTGTGCCAATCTGGACGCTCTGCGATCAACAATGGAAGCCTTTGTTGACCGCTCCAGTAAACCTCACTCCACGAGGCATAACGGAGCAGTCGACAAAGGCTTCCATTGTCGACCGTGGAGCATTCAGACGACTGCGCTGTGCCGCCAAATAGCTGATCGGCACAGTGCGACGGCCATTTTGATGTAATGAAGCGGGGATTATTTAAATCACCGCTTCATTTTCCTACGTCTAGTAAACTCATCTACATGGCTCCATCAACGGAGCCATGTAGTCTAGACATAGCCTGACATTGAGGATTTGGAGACCACACAGGCATAGTACACTTCTCAAATAACCTGGGTCAAACAGTCAGGCAATGTCAATTCTATCAAGTAATATCACAGAAGCTAGAAGTCACAGCCACCTGTTCATTGAGGAACTGATGTTATAAGCAGGATACTGAAAAACTAGCAGCTGCTCACTTCATAATAGTTAATATTTTACACAATGTGTATTGAAGAAAAAAAATCTATGAGTTGAAAGTAGTTGAAGTAGTAATTTTCTATTTTCAGACAACAAACTATACTGTGTCACTACATACCAGTTACATGAATGGCCTGTGTAAGATACAATGAAAGTTACTGTCATTCAGGCAATTAAAAAAAATCTTAAATGAAAAAAGTACAATTCTGTAGGAAAAAGTGTTTATTTAATTTTAATTTACACTGAGCCAATTAAGGCAAAATATATTACTTGGAAAAAGGACAGGTTTTCATTGGGTACAAATATAATAAGTTGGCTAACCAGTATATGGCATATAAAATGTTCTCTGAAAGCATCTACAAAAGATAAAGGCAGAACAGTTTAAGCTGAAAAGCTAGTGTTTAAGGCAAAGAATTCAATGTTTGTTTTTTAAACAAATCTATTATCAAAATATTTTCTTACAATAATTTCTGTATTTCTGAATAGAGATTTAGGATTATCATTGAGCAAAGATATGGAATATCTTCAGCTATTAAGAACAGATATCAAAGATGCATAAGAGAAGCAGTGAGTCAATGACACACTTCTGACATCATGCAGGATTCTGTTTCTGCTTTGGAAAATATGAAATGGTAGAGCAAACAATATGAATATCAGTTTGCGTATTAACATGTGGTGGATAAAAACTCATAACACAAACACTTAAGGAAATTATGTTATCCTGAGTTGCTGGCACATTTTTATGTGTCTATTTCATTGGTTTCTAGGGGAGATGGCTTGGACCATACTTCAGAAAAAGGATTAGAAAAAGGTATGGAAGATGTGCACTCAAAGTTATTTTGGCCAGCACCTTGGATATATTGGAGCATGGACTTACATCCTTCCACAGCTATTCACTTTTAAGATGCTTTAGAATTAGATACAACAGTTCTGAGATCATGTACATCTAAGGCCAACCCTATGAAGTACTAAATACTCTCAAAACTTAGACATCTAGAAAATAGAGGGTAGTGCCTCCACTGAAGTCAAAAGATATTATTTGTACCCCAACCCACTTTAAAAAAGTTATATGTAAGTAAATCAAATATTAAGTATCTGAAATAAAAATACATTCCACTTTACAAATTATAATGCTATTTGGCCCTTATATAAACATATAGGGTTGTATCTAATTCGCTTCTCAATTATACTAGATGTCATTTGATTATTAAAAATTGGAGTTGTTCAGTTCCATTATTGGAAGAGTACCTTCATTTTTTTTTTAATAAAAAAAACCAACAGTTTACAGGTAGACTACAAAATTGTGCTGTATTCACTGAGGACTCAAATATTAGCAGAAGCTGCAATCTTTTCCTTCATATCAAGCTGAAGAAAAAAAATCAGTATATCTTAGTGTGATGAGTCAAGCTTCTTTCAAAT